CCACAGTCCAGCTCCCTGCAGACCACCTCTGCATCCTGCTGGTCAAAGTCAGCTTGACACACTGAGGACCAGGACTGGTTCAAGTTCACCTCCAGTCTACCTGAGCACAGGTTAGACCCACTAACCAGTCTGACTGAGTCTGGACAGAGAGAGGAAGAGGAGGATCAGACACCTGATCAGATGCTATTTCCTGCATTCTGGTGTATTTTAACAGGTTGAATAACAGACTTTTATCTTCTTAAAAAACAAAGTGGAATGAATTTATTTGTTCATCAATAGAAACAACACTGGGTGAAGTAATATTTTGTGGTAAATGTGGGGGTTCAAATGAAATAAATTTTAAATGTGAAGGGRACACTTCCCGTCATTTCATTTAAAAAAAAAGTCCAATTACACATTTAAAAAAAACCTTTGCAATGAACAAGCTTTCTCGGTTTTAAACCCATCACTTTGGTAAAAYAGTATCATTTGCTTGTTGATGTTTACTTTTATGAACAAAAACTGTAATTATAAAAATCCAAAACTGAAAAAAATATCCACGCACTGTAGAGATAAAATACAAATTTAGAGGAATTCTTTGTACCAAATTCAAAATAAGATTTTTGGTTATCACAAGTTATTATCCCAAATTTACAAGACAAAACATTACTTATTGTTATTAATATTAATTGGATTATTATTTTTAAAACCTTTAAAATCATGCGTGTTAGACAAAACAAATCTTTCTTTTTTAAAAAATATTTTTAGCTGTGACTCACAATGACTTTGAGAGAAAGGCTCTTTCTCAGTCTTTATCAAAAGAGCTTCTATTTCCATTCTGTGGCTTAAGAAAAGCAGGTAACCTGTTTATTCAGCATGTCCTTATAAAGCTGGTAAAATCACTTGGTCCACTTTAGTGCAGGAAAACAAAGTGTGAGTGTGTAGCTTTTGTTAGATATTTGTATTATAACACTGAATTCTTTGTAAAAGTGCTATAAATGTATGATTGTTGCTGGTATTATTAGCAGCTGAAAAGACCAGAGTCAGTCAGTTAGTTTGATTCTGGTCGTAGAAGTGAAGAAGAGGAGGAAGGGTCAGATGAGCAGGAAGAGGAGATGTAAAAGTAAAGGAGGAGAATGACGAAGAGGATGAGAGTGAGCAGGACCCATAAAAACAGTTCCAGCTACTTTGGAGGTTGTTGTTTTTTTTCTTAATATTTGCTTTGATTTTTATGAAAAGCTGCTTGTTTAATAAGCTTTTATGAACTGATTTGTGTTTTTATTTGTATCATTGAACACATAGGTTACACACAAACACACACACATACACTTTTGTCTGGGCTTGTGAAGACTATCAGTGTCATAAAGTGCAGACCTCAAAGTAAAACAAAAAGCTGTGAAGATGATAAAAATGTTCACAAGGACAGATTAAAGGTCCTCACAAACATGTTCAGGAACACACACATTTTCTGATGCAGCTTTTTTTATTTTATTGATTTATTTCTCTAAAACACAAATTGTTGCTAAACTCCTGAACTAAACCCGACTCTAAAAGCCCTTTGAGGAACCACCTCAATTCCACTTTCCTAAACGTCCTCACATGGTTCAACACATAGAGATGAAGGTCYTCACAAGTATAGATGAAGCAGTGCATGCGCACACACAAACACAAACATRTTTGTTCTTCTATCCTCATGGGGACTTTGCACTGAYTTCCATTCATTTACAGGTAATTTTTATGGCCTGACCCTAACCCTAAACCCTGACCACCAACCTTATTTCAGCCAATAGGGACCKKGCTTTTGTCCCCATAAGAAACAGTGGGTCCACCCTAACCTGTGTGTACCAGGAAGATAGTAGCAAACACATGTATACACACAGACACACACAAACACACATCTTTGGCAGAAAGCAGCTCTTTAAAATAACAACAACAAAACAAACATGAGATGAACAGTGATTACATCATCAGGATGGTGTCACATAGTGATGATGTCATGGGGATACAGTGCAGCACAGTGTTGTCATCAGATACAGTGTCGCACAGCAATTATGTCATCAGTTACAGTGCAGCACAGCGATGATGTCATCAGAGACAGTGCAGCACAGTGATGATGTCATCAGATACAGTGTCACAAAGCGATGTTGTCATCAGGATACAGTGCAGCACAGTGATGATGTCAGTTTGGTATGAGGTCATCACAGTGATGTCATCAGAATTACAAAACACTCCCCCACCCCCACACACCAAAGCCCAATAATAATAATTAATAACATTGAGAACGCAGAAAACAACAACACTGTCTCATGTGTTTCATCGTCATTGTCGTCGTCGTCGTTGTCGTCGTCATCGTTGTCGTCAGTCTTTCAGGTCTCTGAAGTCCAAAGAGTCCATTTGGTTTCCAAGGAAGTGAGTCTGATCGTTGCTAATTAACAGATGAAGTRAAGATTAMACACACGTCTGAAGGCTCCTCAACACCTGCAGAATCCACGTCACTAACGAGCTCGTTAACYTGTTCGTTAACAGATTCACTAATTACCCAGCAGCTCCAGCCAGTCCTCTCTGCACCGCTCTACCACACCTCACAGCGCTTCCCGCTGTTCATCGGCGTGCCCTCCGGACAGTTGAAGTTGCGGCTGAAGTCCGGAGAGTTGGCCAGACTGCCGATGATTCTGTACCTGGGGGGGCTGTGGGGGTTTGTCAGCAGGTCCTTGTGAGCGCTCTCCGGTGTTTGGACCGTGCACCACACCTGCAGAGAGAGACACAAAGAGGGGTCACAAATCCATCTGACCCACATGTTGACCTGAAACCACAATGTGCTGAGTCATCGTTAGCAGAAACTGACCTGTGCCAATCCCACGAAGAAGAGCTGGTCGTTGGTCAGGTTGACCGCAGGAAGTGTCTTCTCTTCTCCGTTCTTCTGGATCCAGGAGCGGTACGCCTGCAGGAGGAGGTGTCAGTGAAAGGAGCAGAGCGGTTGTAAGTGGGCTTGGTTTGTGTGCAGACTAACATGATACGTTGCTTTCAGCCCTCCGTTGTCAGCGATGTTCTCTCCTAGCGTCAGCTTTCCGTTCACGTGCTCTCCATTGACCACATAGTGGCTGTACTGGTCCACCATGCACTCTGTTCTCTGCCGGAACGCTTTCAAGGATGAATTCGTCCACCAGGGTCTCAGGTTCCCCTCTTTATCGTACTCACGGCCTGATGGACAGGAAGAGGACAGCTGAAGGACATGTCCAACAGACTACACAACTAAACTAAACCAGGAATTCTTTTATTTTCAAGGACTTCTAGATTTGATTCAAGCAACTTGTTGCTGTTTATCTTTATCCTGACAGAGACTTCAAGAACGGTTAGGTTAGGGTTAACCTTTAACCTAACTCTAACTGTTCATCTCCWGCAGCAGACTGAAGCTTTTTCTTTAAAAACTGAAATGAAAACTTYGCTGATTCTTTGGAGAAACTCCTGTCGTGTTTCACTATGACCATTAGAGGGAGCTCCCAACTTCACTTTTCTCTCTTCAGTGGAAAATCCTGTTCCTTTACTCTCAGAGCTGTTTGGTCATGTGACAGGAGGCAGGGAGKAGCAGSATTCAGACTCACCCTCATCATCGAAGCCATGGGTCAGCTCGTGACCCATCCCYGCCCCGATCGCCCCGAAATTCAACGCTCTGAAACACAGAAACACATTTCAAACTATTTTTCAGGAACCAGCTGAGCAGAAACACTGAGGACTGAATGTCAATAAAACATGACAGGTCTGTGTGACGGGCTAAACATGACACACAGACAGGTAATGAGCAGGTAAACAGACGTGGGTTGGTCTTGGGCGTAGAAAGGAGCTTGTAGGACCCCAGCAGGGAAGACAATGCTGTTCTGAGTGGGTATGTAGAATGCATCCACTGTAGGAGGAGTAATGCTCCATCTGCGAGAGGAGAGGAGAGGAGAGGAGAGGAGATGAGATGAGTTCATGTCTTAATATTCAGGATTTGCAGAGCTTTGTATGTTAGGAGTAATATTTTAATTTCTATTCTGAATTTAACAGGGAGCCAGTGGAGAGAAGCTAAAACTGGAGAAATATGATCTCTCCTTCCAACTCTCATTAAAACTCTAGCAGCAGCATTTTGGATTAACTGAAGACTTCTTAGAGTTTTTTGGATGTCCAGATAATAAAGAATTACAGTAATCCAGTCTAGACATGATAAATGCATGAATCAGTTTTTCGGCATCGTTTTTGGACAAGATGTCTCTAATTTTAGGGATATTATGAAGGTGGAAGAAGGCGGTCCTGGTAACATTTTAATGTGTATTAGAAGATTACAGGTCTTTGTTGGGAGTCTTCCTCAGTTGGTTGGCCATGACTCGGGCTGAGAAGTTGTAGAAATTCAACATGTTCTGGAAGAAGCTGTCAACAGATATGTCRTACTGAAACAGAGAAATGTTGTAATGATGCTTTTTACCAGCAGGGGGCAGCAGAAATCTACAACATCTGTCCACTCACCCCGTTGTAATAATCATCCAGCTTTTTCTGGTCCAGGATGAATTCTGGGTAACCAATCAAGTCATAGATTGCATCTACCTGTAGAGAGAGAGAGAGTCAGGATCAGAACCAGAACCTATCTGCAAATTTTTAGCGGTTTGTGCTGATCCACGATGACCAGAATCCATCAATGTTGTTCCTGTTCTCGTTAATGACCCACCACCTGCTCACAGGTACCTTATCTTTGGCAGCTTTTCTCGTTTCATCATCCATCCAGGTGAGTCGGTCCAGAGACTGTTTGAACGCCGAACGGATCTCGTTGATCATTTCTTCTGCCTGGAACAAAGAGACATCCAGTTCAGACCTTGGGGAGACGTAGTGATCAATTWAAAAAAAACAGACTTACATTTTCTTTACTGTGTTTATCAAAGGTTGCCTTGACGAAGAGTGCCCCAAGAGCAAAGCCCTGAGTTTCATCGGTTTTCCCAACACAGGTCTGCCAGCGTGGAGTGCACGACTGTAAAACACAACCAGTTTAAAAAAGCTGAGACCTGGTACAAAGAGAAAGACCCCCACCAGTACGAACCAGCCTAAACCTGTTAGATAGAGACCCCAACCAGTTCAAACCAGCCTAAACCAGTTAGAGAGACACCAAACCAGTTCAAACCAGCTAACCAAACCAGTTCATGTCAGTTTAAACCAGTTAGAAAGAGCCCCCAACCAGTTCAAACCAGTTAGAGTGAGACCCCAAACAGTTCAAACAAGTTAGAGTGAGACCCCAAACAGTTCAAACCAGTTAGAGTGAGACCCCAAACAGTTCAAACCAGTTAGAGACCCCAAACAGTTCAAACCAGTTAGAGAGAGACCCCAAACAGTTCCAAACAGCATAAACCAGTTAGAGCGAGACCCCCAAAGAGTTCCAAACAGCATAAACCAGAGACTTATCATCAGGATGAACTAAACCAGTAAGAACAGGTCAGAAACAAGTGTTCCCACAAACACCAGCAGAACTCTAGATGGAAGGAATCAGAAACCAGTTAGGACCATCAACATAAACAAAAAACCAAGACAGTCCATGAGACTGGCTAAAAGCTCAGCGAGAGCCTTTACCAAGACCAGGAGAACCTGTACCTGTTGCTGGAAGAGACACAGTCATCAGTAGAACATCATCCACAGCAGAACCTGTGCTCGTACCAGAAYCATCATCARTACCTTCTTGGTTCCSTMGAGRCTCTCCAKCAGTTTGTCCTGAGCGTTCTCGAAGCGCTGATCCAGMGTGRCCACGCTCTTCTGGACCAGAGTCCACATCATGTAGTTA